TTTTTTCTTCTTTTCTTGAACAAAACTTTTTTTTGGGGAAAGAAGGATGTTGACACACTCATTATGGATTCTTCTTCAAATGTAATGGAAAAAAATCTTGAGCTGTCTTTCTACAACCCTCATTATATAGCCTCCTTTGGCTTCATTTTTGGCCATTTCATTTTAAATAGCCTTGTAATCATTTTTCAAATTAAAGAAAATTCCTAAGCAGAGATTTAAAAATTGGCATTAACGGTCCTTGGGAACAAATACCCTTTCATGGAAAGGTCATTAAAATACTTGGTGAATTTGGTAACATTCATATGTGCCCATAATGAGTATTAATTTACGTTATTGGCATAGATGTGCAGTTATGTCATAATCTTATGTTAAATATGATGGTGCTTGCATAATTGCACAACTCTATTTCATCTATGGCAGATGGATGTTCTTTACATGTTAATTGTGGTGGAAACGATGTAAGGCTCAAAGAAGGTAAAGACAACGTTGAGTATGACGGAGATGCAGCAGTTGAAGGTGGTGGTAGTTCAAGATATTATGTCAGTCATAATTATTGGGGATTTAGTAGCACTGGGGACTTCATGGACGATGATAATTTCCAAAACACACGTTTCATCGAGAACACACCCGCAACTGGCATCTCTGAATTGTATAGTACGGCACGCGTTTCTCCTATTTCACTTACCTATTTCCGCTATTGCATGGAGAATGGAGATTACACCATAACTCTGCGCTATGCGGAAATACTTTTTACGAATGACAGTGCATATACCAGTCTTGGGAGGCGGATTTTTGATATCTATATTCAGGTAATGTTTTTTATATGAATGAGCATATGTAAATTCTTGTTAAGCCCTAAAACTTTTTAAGAGAACCTTTTTATATCTCAGGAAAAATTAGTTTGGAAGGATTTCAGTATTGAACATGAAGCTGGGGGGTTTCAAAGCCAGTAGATAGACAATACAATGCCAGTGTGACAAATTATTTCTTAGAGATCAGATTTCATTGGTCTGGCAAAGGGACTACTCGCATTCCTAATAGAGGAGAGTATGGTCCACTTATATCAGCTATTTCGGTTAATCCGAGTAAGTATTTTGTTTTTTTTTTAAAATTGTTCCCTCGTACATAAAGATGTTATTATTTTAAGACACACATATATCCAGCATTACTTAAAGAGAATCTAGCATGTCACTCATATTTTCGCCTGTGATTATGGAACAAAGTACCCGACCCCTTTATCCTGCCCCAAAAACTTAAAGCCCATAAAGCATTCTAAACTGACAAAGTACACTCTTTTTTGGATCTACATTCTTATCTGGAGTGAATGCAATATCGTTACATTGTTTCAAGGGTGAAAAAGAAGCCTACATTTTATTTGCAAGCATGGTGTTTAGGATATTCTCGACTTTGTCTGGATGCAAGGGTATATTCATCATTTCGTGTCACAACTTGACCCAGTCGTGATATTGTCACAGCTTTGAAACACGCCATAGCAGTTTAGGATGAGGTTCTACATAAATAGCCCCACAACCTTTTCTACCCAAGCAGTGTTGGACAAGCATATGGAGCATATGGAGACACCTCTACCTCAACTCAACTATCTTGGCCCTCTGCCTCAAGGGTAGTGGCCCGTTGGCCTGTTGGCTACAACACTTCATGCTTTTCCAAAGCAGATTAAACATGTGCTACACAACCTCTGGTCACACGTGACTATAATCTTTTAAATGTAACTTTGGCTACTTCTTGTTATGCTGTTCTTGTTCATTCTACAATCAGCTGTACTAGTTAGGGCTGGTTCTGTTGAAAACTGAGAATGGAGATACCCATTGACCTGATAATTTGGTTTAGGGTTTTTGTGCACTCTTGGATCCAGAACTTCGATGGAGCATATCTAGGATGGACCCAAAACCGAATTTTAAAATGTTTGGTGACCTGAAGTAACTTGGATGGCTAAAAAGGTTGTCTGGACTAGTCCTAATGTAGCTTAGTGATTGAATAGATATAATCGGTTTTGAAGTTTGTCTTTTGGCATCTTTCATTTTGATTGATCCTTGGACCCACCATTTTGTCTCATTTTCCTTTATAATGCCAAGTTTAAAGGTTTAGAATCTCTGTGTAAGGCATGCCCATGTTTGCTTGCAAGCCATGCATGTTTTCCTTGACATTTATTCTACATAGCATATAACATGTTTGAATGTGAGAAGTATGCCTAAGCTACCAAATGAATGTATTTTGGTCAAATTTCTTTTTCTTCAATTTCTGTTTTCTACTAGCATAATTTTTGGTTGGCTCTTTTGGGCAGCTTTCAAATCTTGTTCAAATGGTCGAAAGAAGAAGGTAACAGTTTATGTTACTGTTGGAGTTGTGGCATTATGTGCTATTTCCTTAGTACTCGGCATTCTTTGGTGGAAAGACTGTTTGAGAAGCAGAAAACAGAAAGGAACTGGTGAGCAGTGTATTAGTTGCTGAAAATTAGCTTTGATTCATATGCTCCAATTTGAGTATGTGCTAATCATACTCCCAAAATTTTATATCTGTATCAAAGATTTTATTTTGAAAGGTCTTGAGATCCGGAACTCTTACTGTTGAATTTCGACTGTTTGAGTAGTGACCTAATCTGTCACTATTGCAGCATTTATCATAAAATGCATGTGCAAGTGTCAAGACTGAATGTTATTTGAGACATTATGTCTCCTTATGGCATAGAGAAACTGGATATTGCAACTTAAATTAATATGTTGCACATTTGCGTTTTGACTGGATTTTTAGTGGAAGCATTGTTATCTCAAGATCTAAATTTTCTTTGAACAGATTTTGAAGGAATGGAGCTGCAAACGGTTTCTTTCACCCTAAAACAAATTAAAGCTGCTACTAACAACTTCGATCCTGCAAACAAGCTTGGAGAAGGTGGTTTTGGTCCCGTTTACAAGGTGTTCTAGCTAAAACCACTACTAATTCCCTCTTCCTTTTTATTTATGTATGGAATCTGAAGTGTAGATATGGTGCAGGGCCTATTATCTGATTGCACTGTAATTGCGGTGAAGCAGCTCTCCTCTAAATCAAGGCAAGGGAACCGTGAATTTTTGAATGAGATTGGCATGATTTCTTGTGTGCAGCATCCAAATCTTGTTAAGCTTCATGGATGTTGTATTGAAGGGGATCAATTGTTGCTTGTATATGAGTACATGGAAAACAACAGCCTTGCCAGTGCTTTGTTTGGTAACTTCTGTCATTTTCCTATGCCATACATTCTGTTTAAAAGTTACTGATCCATGCTTTTACATGTTAATAATAATGGCTTTAGCAATATTACTGTGTCGGGTAATGTTCAGGTTCTGCGAACAGTCAATTGATACTGGATTGGCCAACAAGGTCTAAGATCTGTGTTGGGATTGCTAGAGGTTTAGCGTTTCTCCATGAAGAATCGATATTCAAATTGTTCACAGAGATATTAAAGCCACTAACGTGTTGCTTGATAGAGACCTAAACCCTAAAATTTCTGACTTTGGACTGGCTAGGCTCAATGAAGATGAAAATAGCCACATTAGCACTCGAGTCGCTGGAACAATGTGAGTTTCTTGTGCTCTTCTGGAAATTATTGAACTCTTTCTTCAGTTTGTGAGATTGTCATAGTTAATGTTCATGGTCTTCAGCATAGACAGGTAATTTATTGCTGAATTGTGTCATTTTAATATTGATTTGCAGAGGATATATGGCACCAGAATATGCACTATGGGGTTACTTGACCTACAAGGCAGATGTTTACAGCTTTGGGGTTGTGGTGTTGGAAATTGTTAGTGGGAAGAACAACAACAATTACATGCCAAGTAACACCTGTGTTTGTCTTTTAGATTGGGTACTCAGAAACTTCTTATCCCAATTCATTTTGTTGAACATCTGTTGACAAGATTCTAGCATTAGGCGGGGACCGGATTTCAACCCGAATTTGACCCGATTTTGTTTAAGCGATTATGGATCAGATTTTTTATCCATTAATCTGATCCGATCTGATCTGAATCTGATTAGACTTGTCTAAACGGATTCGGATATAGATTTATAATAATCCGATATGTTATTAATCTGATCCGAATAAAAAAATATATTATGTGAATAAATATCACACATATATTATACTTATACTGAAAAACAAGTAAAAATAGATTGAATATCACAATGTAAGATCTGTTTTTTTATTTTTTTCATTTTGTTTCCCTCTCTTGTTTGGTTTTCTCCTTTGCTTTCATTTCAATTTTTCATTTTCCCTCATTGTTTTAGTTCATTATCCAAATTCTTATTGTTAATTTTTTTTTGCGTACATATGTGTTTTTGTAATAATTAGATCAGATCAGATTTTTGGATCGGATATTCGAAAATTAATGGATTCGGATATAAATTGAAATTTTCAAATTCGTCAGATAACCAGATTGGCAAAAACTTATTCGAATTTGAATATATGACAATACGGCCTATGTTCGATCCGTTGATAGGCCTAGCAGGCATTGAACACCAACAATTTGTTTTTTTTGTTTTTGTGTGGAAGTTTTCAACAGTTGCAGTGTATTCATATTGCAGGCCTGTCACATGCAACAAAGTGGAAGCATAGATGAGATTATTGATCAGAGGTTGGGGTCTAAAGTTAACAAAGAAGAAGCAGAAAGGATGGTGAAAGTAGCACTCTTGTGTACAAATGCATCTCCATCACTCCGGCCTATTATGTCTGAAGTAGTCAGCATGCTTGAAGGACGAATGTCCATTCCAGATCTGATCCCAGAACCTAGTAGCTATACTGAAGATTTGAGATTTAAAGCCATGAGAGACTTTCGTCAAGAGAAGCAAACCCAAAATTTCAGTGGAACCCAAACCCAGAACTCAATGACGATCCAAACAGATGTGTGCACTTCATTTGCATCAACTACTGATAAATTTGAAATTAATCCAGATCCCAAATCCTATTGAAGATGGTTTGATGGTTTTTTTGTAGAATTTTTGGTTTGCAGTGGAGTACATATAGTTTTGTTTTCCCTCCAATGAGAGGTGTGTCAATCACCCCGGGATCAGGACTGTAGAAAGGCTATGTCTGCGATGCCCCAGCACACTCCTATCTGGCGTCTTCTTTTTCCTATTTGAACCCTTCCTGTGGACATTTGTCAAGGTGCCCAATATAGAAAACCCACGTCTTTTGGCTCTTCAGCAACCAATGCACATATCTTATTGTGTCATATGTTGATCCAAACCAATGACTTATCTTAGGAGTCCCTCTGGATCCCAATCAAATGGATGGTGAGCAATGTACTAAAAGATCTGCTTGAGTAGACTAAACCTTGTGACTATATCCAAGATCGAGGTTGACGATCATGCTCCTCTGCCTCCATTGCTTAGTTCTCTCTTGAGGAAGGTCATATTTGATAGAGTTATATACTAAAAGTTTATTTTTTGTAATGTAACTTAGTTTATTATTTAATAAAAAAAATTTGTTTCTTATTTCAATGAGAATATGTGTGGACAAAATATTTGTATTATATTAAATATATGACATGCATGTATGTCTTTTATTTTATATTGTAGATAATCTGGTGTGTAAAGCTTACAATCTTGATAGAATTGAATATACCATCAGTAGTATTGTAGTGTAATTTTTTGACATAGTTTATCTTAGCTATATGAAATTGTCTAATGTCTCAGATTATTGCACTAGTATAATTTGTGTATTGGACATGACCATTATTGAGATTATTTTTTTTTACTGATTAAATAAGAAAATAAATATCTCATGATTATTATAGTTGTTTAAACTTTTGATTGTGAGATATTTAATTGACAGACACATATAATTCATAGATTTCATATTTGAGTCAACATATTCAGTGAATTGAAAGATGATATTATTTGTATGGTGGAAATTAATTATTAAAAAAAATCATGTCTCGGTATTTCAATGGGTTGATAATGTTTTTTTGAGGAAGTTCATAAGTTTTGTCCATGTTAAACTCTGTATGTGGATGTAATTATCCGACATGAAAAATAAGTTGAGTTATAAGATCTCAAGGATAAAAAGAAATCAATTAAATATAATTGTAAGTAATTTAATTAATTGACGAACATTTGTTATTTTTAAACATGAAGAGATTATTAAGTATTTAATAATGAAGAATTTGAAATATAATTTTGAAATAATGTCCAAGAGATCAATAATAACTTTTTAGTAGATTAAATTATTATTAATGGATCATATGATGTTTGTTCTATGTTGGACACAGGATTCCTAGACTTATTAGAAACTTGATCCTTATTTCTCCTTAAGGTCTTTTACTGTAACTTTTAAATAAATGCCCTTATTAATTCTCTCAGCCATAACCTTTATCTTCACATTTAGAAAGGCATAGAGAGCAAGGGAGAGAATTCGGAAGATTGCAGGCCACACTGCATTTAGATTTTTGGCATGAAATGATATACGATAGAAGATCGTGAGGTCCATCGAGCATGCTGTTCAATCTGCATTTGTTCTTCGATTGTGTGGATCTACTCGTCAAAGGTAAAACCTAATTCCGCTTTATAGGGTTAATAAACGAGTAAAATTTTTATAATCTATTATATGAGTTGTCAATAAATCTTGGGACTGTTGTTCCAACAATACTACCATGTTCCTTGGTGAGGACCATCCTCTTAGTCCAGTAGCTGGGGCGACTTGATGTAAACAAAGGCTTAAGGCAAAACTTGTAAAAAAGGCTCTAGTAAGTTTAAATGTAATAGTACATATAATATTAAAGTCCAAAACTTTTTATCTATATAGATAAATTTATCGGTATCGTATCGAAATTCATTTCAACTGTTAATTTTCGGTTGAAAGATTGAAAAGTATTTATTGAAAAAATATAGAGTGATAAAAAAAATTGGATTTTAATTTTATTTTTTTTGATGAAAAATGAAGGTGCAGTATACATTTTGGTCTCGTAACCGGATCCTATATTTTAAAACAAACTTAATTAACAAAAAATACCATTAAATAACCATATAATGGTTAAGGGTAAAATATAAATAATAGCACAAACTATTCAGGTGATTAGGCATCATATTGAGGTTAAAAATATCTAGTTATTTGCAAATAATTATTAAATTACATCCCTATTGTTAATAGCATTTTTCTTTTTGGAGGATCGGATTTTTTAACTCCAAAATCTAATGTATTGAGAGAGAGAGAGAGAGAGAGAGTGTGAGCATTTAAAAGGCAAGGCTTTTTTGTTACATCCGAGGATAATCGCTGCCCCTATACCACCTAAGGGCCCTAAAGAAGAAACCTATTAGTGGAATGTGGATTGAAACAGAATTTCTGGGCCCTATATTTCCTACACAGCTGGCTTAACAGACGCAAAATTGCTCATTGTTAAACTGGGCTGCAATATTTTTGGGCCCTTAAGTGTGGGGGCCTGGCGGCCACCTTGGTGGCTA